TTTGCAAACTGTTCCTTTTTTATGTCAGGAGAGGGTGGTGTTATGGCAGAAGAAAGGTTGGGTCAATTTGGTTAAGGAACCTAAAGCATCCTGGAAAGGAAGAAACTCAAACACTAATGCCTTAGGAAATGAATCTGTAAAGCTTGGGTTTAAGTGGTGTAAAATTTTCAGTCTGGCTGATTAGGATATGAAACTAACACACTATCACAATACATGACACTTCCTTCCCTCAAAACACCAAGAGGCTCTGGATCAACCTGTGAAGTATTTTCCCCACTCAGGAAGTGTTGCATATCCCTGCTGGCCCAGCTTTCAACTAAAGGCATGCATCTGTCTCAGCTGCCACCATGCCTGTGAAAGGAACAGGGTGTCCCTCATGAGAGATGGCCCATACCCAGTCACTGGTGCATTTACATCTAGCAGCACCAGTCAACCAGAGGTGAACATCCTGCCACCTCTGTATGAGAAGGTATGACACTGGAGCTCTCTCCCATCTCCATCACTCAGGAGTGCCGTGATCCGGGCAAGTGCTTGAATCAGAGAAGGAAAAGAGCCTTTGTCAAGACATTTGGCCAGTCTAGTTGCTGTCTTAGTTTGTCCAGGGATGCTATAACCAAATACCATAGACCAGATGGCTTATAAACATCATTTATTTTTCACAGTTCTGGAGGCTGGAAGTCCAAGATTAAGGTGCCAGTATGGTGAGGTGAGGATCCTCTTCTGGGTCGTAGACTTCTAGTTTTATCCTTATATGGCAGAAATGGGCAAGTGATGTCTCTGAAGCCTCTTTTATGAAGGCACTAATCCCATTCATGAGAGCTCTGCTCTCATGGCCCCACCTTCTAATAGCATCACCTGGGGAAGCTAAGGAGATACAGACATATAAACTGGGCGTAGCTAAGCAGATTATTCCAGCCCAAAATTTGAATCTTGAAGAAATGAGACAAATAATGCAGGCAGAATTGAGAAATTATTCATGGTGGTATCAACAGCTTTGAGGGTTCAGTACATCCCTGAAAGTATCAGTGTCCTAATCTGTACTGTTGTATGAAGCTGTGCTCCCAACTCCCAGCCCTTCTGGGTTCCTATCCATTGCCATTGCCTAAAGGACTAGCCTTCACCTTCATGCTGTACTCTATAGTTTTTCACATAAAGCCTATCTGTGTTTTAGCTGCCAGATTCAGTTTCTATTCCCTGCAAAAAATAACTCTGACTGATGGGAGTGGAGAGAATGTGGACAGGAACTGAGAAAACATCTCAGGTGAGTGGAGAGAGAATGGCATGATTGCCTCGGAGACTCTAATAAAACCTCCAAGACTGGAGGGGAAAAAAAGACTTGAAATACAGCTGGTCCTTTGTATCTGCAGGTTCCACATCTGCAAATTCAAACTCAGGTCGAAAATTATTTTAAAATAATTAAAATTCCAGAAAGTTCCAAAAAGCAAAACTTGAATTTGCTGCACTCCAACAACTATTTAGATAGCACTTACATTGTATTTACAACTATTTATATAGTGTTTACATTGAATTAGGTATTATAAATAATCTAGACATGATTTAAAGTATAAGGGAGGATGTTCCTGGGTTATATGCAAATAGTATGCCATTTTATATAAGGTTCTTGAGCATCCACAGATTTTAGTATAGGATGTTGGTTCTGGAACCAATGAATCCCCTGCAGATACTGAGGGGAAACTGTATTAATGAGACAGACAGTAGGACAGTTTGGGGACCAGAACAAACATATCGGGAAGTAGGGTTAAATAATAACGACTAAGTAACCTAATTTTTCACTCTATTATCACCCCCAAAAATTGTTTGTTGAATTCTGGTTACATGACAACAATTTTTGTTGGCTCCGGACACATAAAGATAAAAATGGCAAAATCTATGTTGTCAAGGAGACACTAGTCTTTTCCAGTGCAGTAGGGAATTTCAGGACACAAACTCCTTTCAGCTTTTAACTTGACCATTTAGATAACTCTCTCTCTCTAGGGCAAATTACTGTCACCCATTTATCAGTTTTAAAAATTGATAGAAATAGAAATTGAGTAATGTTTCCAATATCATAGAATCCTAGAAGAATGAAAGTAAGGGAGTGTGGGTCCTGAGGGTTGTATTCTCTATTTTAAGAACACATACCTATTTGCTAGTTATGGTTACTATAAATTTATAAGTTTACTGTGAAAAAATATAGTACAGAAAAGAGGGGATTGAAAATCCATATATGATAACAGAAAGGCTGGTGCCACCAAAATCTGCCTTGCTAGTTACCACTTGACCCAGCTGTCCCTAGGCACATTATCAACTTGGACTCTCAGAAAACCCTTCTTCCTGGAATACACAGGCCTGCATTAAAATTCTACTGCTACAATTCTAATATTCCTCTTGAAACTGTAATCAAATAGAATAGGGAGCTTAAAGCCTGAAGTGGTATAAACTCACTAGCCAATCAGAAAAGGAACATGACAAAATGTATCTCTCATGAACAAAAGGACACTGATATCTCACCTTTTTACAAATCCCCTATTACTGCAAGAGAAGAAAAGAACTAGAAAGACATGCACTAAGTTATAAAACAAAACTACATGATGCAGAGCTGGGAAATAACACTAGTGCATGGAAGACAAACAGGAGCTTGCTTATATAGAGCACTGATGAGATTGTCCAAACCTAGTCCTCACTCATAGATGGATGCCACAAACGGGTGGTTTCCCAATCTGTCCACAAGCCACAGTAGCATACACTGTGGTTTTCAGTCATCTCCCAGCATAACTGCTGGAACCCCAGTTTCCTGAAGACTCTATATAGTGGTGTGTTGTGGTGAAGTGAAATTAATTGGCTAGGGCAGAGCTTCTCATCTAGGGTGCCACTAATGTGTTACAGGTATGCCAATATATCACTCTCTTGAACCCTAGGATTTACCACATAGAGTCTGGGATAGTCAGAGTCACAGATCCACCGTGTTCACTGCAAGTAGGCTTTTTGCCTCAATGTTTCATGAAAATATGATTTTCTCTGTTTGACAAAATGTGAACAAGGATGGAAAGCACTAGGCAGAACCACCACTCACTAGCCTGTCTAAACCAGTAAGTCTGGGAAAGTCTGGGGACACAATTCAGTCAGTATCTACGTTGAACCTCAGTAGACCTCTGCCAATTCCATTCCAATTAAATCCAAATAGGGTTTTTTATGGATCTTGGCTGACTCATCTTAAAGTTTATATGAAAAAGTAAAGAGACAAGAATAGCTAAGGAAATTTTAGAGAAGAAACGTAAGGAAGAGGGGCTTGCAAAATGTTTGGATACATAGAGTTGAGTGCATGGTTGTTCATTATGTTATCTGTACTTTTCTGTGTCTAAAATATTTTGTAATTAAGCATTAAAACTTTTAGAAGAAAGTAAAAGAGAATAGCTTATGGCCTCTGGTTGGGAAGACCCTTGTAAACAAGAAAGCAAAAAGCACAAAATTATAATCTAAAAAATTGTTAAATTCAACTAGCAGTACCTTAAAATATACAGCTCTTAGTCAACAAAAGATACGGTAAAAAGTTGAAAGACAATCCACAAACTAAGAGAAGCTATTCGTAACACATTTAACTGACAAGAGAGAAGCACTTAAGCTTTAAAAATATATAAAGATTATCAACAAATTAATTTTCAAAAACAATCAGGCCAACAAAATGAGCCAAAATTGAGAACAGGCATTTCACAGAAACCCAAATAGCCACTAAGCATATAAAGATGCACAATCCTATTAGCAAGGGGGAAAATGCAAATTAAAAGATCAATCAGATGCTACCACCAGGCAAAAGTTTTAAAATCTAACAGTAGTGTGGGTGTTACGGATAATGATGTGCCAGCCTAGTCCATGTGAAATGGATTTGTGTGTAGTTGAATCTCAAAACCTGAATGTGCAGTGAAAAAAGAAGTTGGAAAAGATGTAGTATAACTTACATAAAAATACAACACCAGGATAGCTATATTTTTAGGAACTTATACATATATAGCTATTTTCAAAAAAGCAAGTAAAGGAGTAATATAAAACTTAGAATAATAATTATTTCTGGCTGGGAGGGAAAGATACTTTTAAAGAGGCCTCTTAAAAGGCTTCAAAAATGCTGGTAATTTTCTGAATCTTCAGGTATGTAGTGGGTACCTGGGTATTCCTTTTATTATTATTCTTTAAAATGTGCACATATGGGATACATTCACATATGTACATTTCACAATTAAAATTTGTTTAAAAAATCCAGTGAGATTTTAAGGAGAGCCCTTACTCTCCTTAAATTTTAAGGAGAGTCCTTACTCTGCTAATCGTTCGCATTAGCAGCTTCTAGGCTGTGAGTATTTCCTTGTTACTATGTAACCAAACAAAATAGAGAATTCTCTTGGCTTCTGAGGCTGATGTAAGGTGAAAAACCTTCAGCTGTAACCCCTATTTCAAAAGTTCTTGCTCTTCGCAGCGGCCTCATTGTTCTCAATTATTTCTATAAGTATTCCAACACAAACGTGATTTTATAAGTATGTTTGCAAATTAAAAATGTCATCTCTGTTTACTTTTTAGCTTCCAAGTAAAGTTTCCTTTTTTTTTAAAGGGCAAGCGGTTCCTTAATTTAAAAAATTTGAAAACAGCCAGTGTCCTCCAGTTAAAAGCAACTTTTGGACACCTCACATCAAATACAGTTGTCCTTTATTAGTGAAAGCTTCCCAGCAGAAGCTTAGAAGACCAGTTTCTAAGAGAGGAATGAGTCATCTCTAGTTGGGAAAAGAGTATGCGAGTCCAGCCCAGTTCTACTCTGCCCCTTTTCTCCACTCTTACGAGATGCCCAGAAAATGCTCTCCCTTCTCTCACCCACACCCCTTCCAGTCCCTCACAGACCCCAGGGCTTTCTGCTGGGAAACCAGAGACCCGCCCACTCAGTGAGCCCCGCCCCATCCCAGCCCCGCCCCTCGGGGCTCCCGGAAAGCTCTGCGAACGCTCTTCGGGAGGCAGGGCTGCTCGGGCTCGCACCAGGGCAGCTGTGGGCTTTCTGTACTCCCAGCTTCAACATCTCGGGCGGCCGAGTCTCTACTGGTGGCTGAATTCCTAGACCCTGGTGAGTGGCTGGAGGATTCTGGGCCCTGCAGATGAGGTTTTGGCCGGCACCAGGGCCACCCCCCAGCGCCTGCGCGCTCACCCGCCAGCCAATCTGCTCGCCTGCAGACGGCCTTTGACCTTGCGCCCCTCCGGCCGGCGGCTTGGGGGCTTCAAGCTGCGAGCTTTGGGACCTTGGGACACCCTACTCTGTCACTCTTACCCCTTACTTTGTCTGGCTTAGTTTTATTGCCTTCTATATTACTACTTTATCTCTACCCTGCTGGCGTCGTCTCTGCCACTTCTTTGGAGCGGAACCTCCTGTCGCCTCGGTTTTCCCTTCCCTCCCCAGCAAGCTGGGTATTTCGGGAGTGACGGAAGCCTTTCAGAGCCGTGTCCTTTTGTCCCCAAACTCGGCCTTGAGCCTTGGGGGCAAGTGGGAAGGTTGAGGCCTACCGGGCTTGGGCTATAGCAGGAAGGTGGCGGGCTCCGGTCTCGAGCCGCCAGCCCGGCCGTCCGGAGAGTAGAGCGAGGGTGGGGAGGCCGAGGCAGAAATGGGTTTTCCACTGAACCTGTTCACACGTTTGGTACTATCATCTTAGACTGTTGTCGTTTGCTAAATCGCAGGGTGCAACTCTGCTGGAATAGTATCTTTTCCCATTTTCTAAAGGAGCAAATTGAAATATAGTCAGTTAGGATAGTTTGTTTTCGTTTCAATGTTGCAAGACCCTGCGGATAAGAGTTAAGGGAAAATGCGGAAGTGCTTAAAAAAATAAAACAAGGGAGGAAAATGTTAATTATATGACCTTAAAAAAAGGCAAATTGGACTGGAATGGGTTGATTACGTATTTAGACAATAGTTTGAAAGAAAAATACAAGATAAAATCTAGGTATTGGTAATATTAAGTTACGTTGTTTGCACATCGTTTTCATGACAATGTGTTACTCCCTTCATGTTGAGCTATATGTAAACCATGAAAAAATAGTGTTGTGTAGTGAATCTTGTGGATTTTCAGGCTTTATGCATAAAACATTACCACAGCTGTTGGCTTTTAGTCACACAATGAATAGTAAGTGTATGATAGGATAATAAGCTTTCTTCAGATTAAATTTGGACTGCAGTTTATGAGTAGGTAACAGATAATCGTTGTTTTCTAAATCCATAATCTTTAAATGAAAACATGACCACATGTCAGCAGTTTTCATCTGTCACAAAATTTATGGTGTTATATTCTCTAAACTTGATTTGTCTAAAATGTTGTAGGAAGGTGGAATAAGATGAAGACAAGAGCTTTAATTCTAGAGCCATACTTCGCTGCCCCTTGCTAGTTGCTTAACCTCAGACAGGTTACTTAGCCATTTGTTAGCCCAGAGACTTGGAAAAAGTTACCAAATGCTTTGCACCTTAGTTCAGTCATCTGTAAAATGGTATTAAAAAGAAGTTCTACATCATAGGTTGTTGGGAAGATTAAAATGGAAAGATGAGATTCTGCTTAACTGAATTCTGTTAGCGAAAGGGTACAGGTGTTTACATTAAAACCGACCTAAGCAAGGAACTCGTGGTACAGAAATGGATTTTGAAAGTTCCAAGTGTGTCTTCTAGTGTTAGTTATATTTTTCTACAATGGCTTCTTAGAAAATAATATTAGGAAACAGCTAGAAAAAGAAAAAAGCAACCAGAAATTTGTATAATAATAAATAATTAAAAGGTGAAATCTTTTTGGCTTTTCTGAGTAACAGGGTAGGAGCTAATCCTTTTCGAAATCATAACTGATATCACACTAATTCTGAATCTCTTATATCTCACTAGACCTCTAAGTCAAAAACAATCATTTAAAAGATGAAAAGACCTCCAAATCACCAAACACAAAAATAGAAGCCATCGAGTTTCAAAAGAACGTATTATTTCTATGTATTATTATGTCATGTAAACTGCCCTTTGAAGATACTAGATTTTTATTACCCAGTACCTTGAGTATTGAGTACATTACTACTTTGGGAACCTTTACATCTGCAATTAACTTGGATTTTTTTTCTCTGAGGTGACTTCTGAAACTTCTTTCTTTTGTTGAAACCAAATAAGTAGTTCTACCACTCCTTTTCTACTAAAAATCGTTAGACTTGCTAGGCATCTCAAGTTTCATCTTTTTGCTAAGTTGGACATGATAATTTTTATTAAAATGGATTTTTGAAATTATTAGATCTATCTATGATTCTTCCTATATAATATGTTTAGTATAGACTGAACATGTTAACTATATGTATAGTCAGTAGAATCTGTTTATACACATACTGCCCAAATAAATACCAATGTCAAATGTCAACTATATGTATAGTCAGTAGAATCTGCTTATACACATACTGCCCAAATAAATACCAATGTCAAAAACAAAAGGGCCAGAAATTAAATTCTTTAAGCTGAACACTTAATGGCCACTGACTAAATGTAAGACATACTGGGTTCTACTAGAGTGTAAAGGTAGGGACTCCATTTCTGGACCTTATGGAACAGTCTAGTAGGGGGTATAATACATTAAATAGCATGAAGCAATATATTTAAAAAGCCAATTTAAAAAGTAGGTAATGGTGTAATAGACTGTATGGGAAAGTGAGTACTTTTCACCCTGGAATCATTGGGAGAGGTATCAAGAAGAGGCAACAGTTCAGCCTTGTCTTGAAGGATTAGAGTAGTATATCAGAAGTTAGCTATATGGAGAATAGGTATTTAGAGAGAGTAAACTATGTGTTGGTTATTGATTGCTTGCCAGACACCCATCTTTAATAATAATCATCATGAGAATAAATTCAGTGTTACACTAAGCCAGAAATGATTCTAAGGGTTTTATAACAACTTATTTCATCTTCACAAAAATCCTCTGAGTGAGGTAATAACTCGTGAAGGTGAGAAAAGAAGCAGGGAAAAGATCAAGCCACTTGTATAGGTGAAATGGCTAAGAAAAGGCACAGCTAGAATTTGAACCCAGGCATTTGAACTGCAGAGCCCATGCTTTTAATCACAGTGGTTTGCTGCCTTTATTTAGGTTGAGATGCCTTATTGTTCACTGAGATCAGGAGGTTGGGGTAGAGCCAGTGGATCACCTATAATGATGTGATAAACATTTTAAATGAATGAATTAAATGAAAAGAGAAATTAGATTTAGAGGCAAAAGCGGGGGAAATGCGGCTTTTATAAATAGATATTTTGTGTTTTGTGTTCATCCATCGCTCTGAGAAATGAATCTAACAAATAGAAAAATGCCTCAGAACTATTTGTTTCATATATTTCTTCACTTTTCTTTTTTTAAAATCCGATCAGTATTTACATTTGATTAAAACATTACCCTTTTACATTTTATTTCACATACGTTATCTTGCATGATTTACAGAACAACTTTGTCAGAAAACAGAATTGTTAATTTTTTTCTTTTAAGATGATTAAAAAAAACTCAGGGTCACAAAATTAGGTCAACAAAGCTGATTTGAACTTAGATCTTCAGATTTCAAAATCAATATTCTTTCCATTATGTGTCTTGACTCTTCCATGCATTTCACCCATTCAGCTGATCAACATTTCAAAAATCAATGTCTTACTAATTTCTGAATCTAGTAGTCATTCCTCCCATTCTCTATGATTTGTCAATATTCATTACCATTGATTATTTCCTCATAAAATACCTACTCGAAACAAACTTTTCTTCCTTATGAAATATTATGTTCTAATTTTAGAAGACAGCATAAGAAAATATCACTGAGTAAATGATTACCCAGAGGTAATCATTATACATGTTTAAGTATGCTTCCTTCCTCTCTGTAGTTGAGATTATATTATATCCATAATTTTTTTTCTACTTAATGGCTTGTCAAAATTCTTACCTTCTTTAAGTAAAGGGAAGGATTTGTTTTTATCTTGACAACTTGGAAATTTTAGGACAGCAAATCATAGAAGCAGGTCAAAATGGTTATCTCATCCTTTATTCCTATGCACAACGCTGTCACATTCCATACATAGGAATATCACTCCCTGGAGTCCTGCAGTGCAAAGCTTAAGGACTGTATGAGTTGGTCCTTCCCCGAAATAAGCAGGTGTTATGTTAAGAGTTCATGTCCTCCAGTTTGCTGGTGATAGTCTTTTTTTCTTCTTTTCCATTTTCAAATAATTTTAGACTTAAAGATTCAAAAGTAATACAAACAACTCAACAATCCCTGTATATTTTTCCTGCAGCTTCACCAAATGGTAATATTTTGCCACATTTGCTTTATCATTACACACACACACATACACACTCGTATATTACATTGTATATAATTTTACATACATATTATATGTAATATGTGTACATATGCATATATATGCATATATGTATACATATATATATATATATATATATATATATATATATATGTAGGTACATATCTGTGTATGTGAGTATCTTAATATGTTGTCTGATGTATCTTTGTGATTAGATCCGGATTAATACTGACAGAAATACCACAGCAGTGATTCTGTGTTCTTCTTAGAGCATCCATTCTGTAGACTCAAGATATCTACTTATTCAAAATTAACTGCTGAACTTTATTTTGACCACTTGTTTAAGGTGGTGTCTGCTAGGTTCTGCACTGTTAAGTTACTATGTCTCTCTTTGTAGTTAATTGGATATCTTTTGGGGGGGAGATGCTTTGTCAATATGTAGATATCCTGTTTCTCATAAACCCTGCTTCTTTTAACCCCTCATTTAATATCCATTAATGATTCTTCCTTGATACATTTATGGTAGTAGCCAAATAGTGATAGTCCAATTCCATTATTCCATCTAAATTTATTAGTTGGTATTCTAAAATGTCTTCTTTATTCCATTTATTTATTTTTACATTTTAAAAATGTCAGTATAGATTCATGAATTCTTATTTTAATGTCTATAATTTATTATTCTTTGTCATTATTTTGATGCTGAAACTGTCCCAGATTTAGTCAGTAGTTGCCCCTTCAAGCTGACTCCTGTGTCCTATGGACATGTCTCTACA